TCACCGTGTGTAGGGCAAAAATTAGTCCCGGTTTTTCTTTTGGAGTCCTAGGCCAGTAGTGAGAAGGACTGTGGGGTTTACCGGGAAGTAGCCACCCTGTAGACGTTGGTCGGTTCTGGGCCTTGGGCCTTCCGATGGTGTTGGACCATTTGGCCGAGTGGTTGCTTCATGAAGTTGACTCCTTGGGTGAAGAGAGTATATCTGTAATAAGACCCTTTTTTATTGGGACTCGTACTAAAGGAGTGGGGGGGTGGTCCGTCTTGTGAGAGGAGTCTTGAAATCTCTGCGTTAGTCGACACAGTTGTCGCTTACCTGCTGCCGGTCCGACTCTCTGGTGGGGCTCGTAAAATTTAGTGGTAGAGCTACCTGTAACGGTCAACCCGACTCCCTACCGTGGTCGTGGGCCCCCCGGAGCCGGCTGCCTCGAGCTTATAGGCGGCAGCTCCTGTGACCGCACGTCAGTCTGGAAACCAGAGACCTCCTCAAGGACCGGACGCCAAAGAGCGCCCTGGCTGGACGCTGGGTAGTCGGAGTCGGACAGGCCGGCGGTTGGCGAGGGGATATCCGGTAGCTCCCTCGCAAGAAGCGATCCGGAGTAGGCTGCTGGACGTCACCCCCCGCACAATGTAGGACAGTAGGACGACGGCAAGGGACCATATGCATCCGTCGAGTCAGGGCCCGTACATGGAGAGGATGCTCAGCAACGAGTTGGAGCCAGAGAACGGGCACTTGAAGGGCAGGCCTGCTGGCAAACGTCCCCCGGGCGTTCCTGTCGCACGGGACTTGTGCCGACTGTGCGGTTTGGTCGGGAACAGGGTAGTTACGCTGCCCAGTCGGTTGCCGCCGACGCACCCGGGTCCACTGGGCCATGCGGGCACAGGAGTCGCGTCAGGCCCGGGGGGCGTCGTGACCGGCAAGGGAACATGCGTCTCTTGTTGTTGCCTACTTTCCAACCGATGAAACCCTCTATCGAGCAGCTGTAAGTTATGAACGGGGGTAAGCCCGTGTGGTACGTACCTCCCGGTGGATAGCTCTACAGTGCACCTCGGGCGTCGATGCGGATTCCGTACGGTGTGCGCCGATTGTCACGGAGATGTGACCGTCCGCCTCCCAGGTGCTATGGGAGGACGCCCCCCCCCCTTTTGCTTCGGGAACCCCAGTAACTTGCGGACGGTATTGCCGCTCGGTCACCGCACCACGGTAGCATACCATCAGTGAGCCTTCGTGCTGCCAAGGGGGCGTCCTGGGCACCTGGAGAGGGGGGAAGTTGTTCAAGGACGGTTGCACTCTGGAAGCGGTGACTCAGGGGCAAGGTGGAACGTGGCGCGCAGGGCTGTCCCGTGGACCTCTGGCAGTGCCTGCGGACCTTGCCGATGGTGTCACAGGGGACGCACTCAGCCTAAGCGGTGGAGTGATGGAAGTAGTGGTAGGAAGGCCGGCAACCGCGATTGTGTCCGTGGGTGTCCCAAAGGGAACAGTACGTCCCCTACCGATGTTGGCAGCCAAAACTGCGGCAGGAGAGCCGATCACTTTGCGTTCCTTGCAACACACCTACTGTGGTAGGTGATACGTGGGGCTGGACCTCGTTGGACACCTCCTGGTAGCTGAAGGACCTGCGCTACAAAGGTTGAGCCTGAAATTATGCCGTCGATGTGGTTAACAAACCAAAGGGTTACCATCGCGCAGAGAAATCGTCGCGCTCGTTGAGTTTCAGACTCTCCCACTCCTTCTACTTTTGACTTGTTCTTAGCTGTTGAGCTGGGTAAAACCTAACTGTAGAGGAAAACTGACAATCTATGTCTATCTTAGCTTGTCCCGTAATACGAGGTACCACGGTGTCTGTAACAGGAATGTTAATGTTATTCGTACTTTTATAATTACGATCGTCGTGAGGCCGCTAGGTGATAGTGGCCTCAGAGGACCACGAGGTCGACGTCTGAGACACGTAGAGTAGTTGATATTACATCGCAGTAGGAATACCTATGCTCATAAGAAAGTTTCTGTTGTGTGTCTTGTGTGAAGTACGCTACTGAGTACGGCGGAAAACTACGTAAGATTAGACTGCAATGCGACTAAGCCGACTATTTAATACAAAGCACCGTATCAAATGTCTATCGTGATCAGTCGAACAACACGACGATGAAGACCGAACTCCCGAGGAAAGATATGCGGGGCCTGCTCTCTCCCATTACTATGTGCAATACAGTCCGTCCTTTGTACACTGATAGTCATTGAAATCTGTAGCATTTTGTTAAAAATTGCTCTAAAATAACATCTAATTATTTAAAATGACTATGGTTGATATATCATAAATGGAACAGAAGTACATTTTTATCACTAAATGAACAAGTAATTTTACTTTGTGTTATATTTTTATATATCAAGAATTTATAAAAATAAATACATTGCATAAAATTTTTATACTTACTGTAGTTTACAACACACAGCTCCACCCTCTTCTCGCGCGGTGTGTCATACCCTTGTTCTGCTGTATAACAACAAACTTATATAAACNAATACTAACATATAAGCATTCTGGTACACTCTGAGAAGAGAATAAATAAATCTATTACTACCCGACCTATTAATAATATTTTATGCCATTGTTTGTGTTTCACTTTGTTCTGGCAGCTGCACTTGCTGCTCCACACAGAGAGAAGAGTAAAGAGGAGATAGTGTGTGTGAATTACTTTAAATTGTGGGTAAGGGTAGATAGCTCCAATTGTTCTGACCGGGGGTCATATTTCATTACGTGTTCATCTTTATCTGAAGTTGCACCCATGGATGTATAAAGAATAGTTCTACTGCAAAGTTATTCTCCGTGGGGACTTCCAGTAACAATCTTGATTCTAATTGGTCAGAAGACTCGAAAAAACATCAGCAAAGATGTTCTATTGAGAAGATGATCTCTACGCGACAGAAGTTTTCAAAACCGTTTATGGTCTCCGGTAGGCTACTTCCAGTCCAACGCATACTGCATGCACAGCGTTAGAAAATCGGGCCTTCAAAATACAAGTTTGACTTTTTTCTTCACTCATACCTGCTACCCACTCGAAACGGGTCTGCGACCCACTTTTGGGTCGCGACCCACCAGTTGAGAACCACTGCGTATGGATGATGTTATGCAGATACACAGGGATCTTCTAGTGAAGGGTGTCAATGTGGCCATATATTGACATTTTTAGTGTGCATTCATTGGCTGTATCATCCATCATCCATGGTTGTGTATAATGTGCCAGAGAACACGTAATTCAAGCTCAAGATTAGAGTGCATTATACTTGAATAATTATGTTTATAATAGAAGCTACATTTGACCACTTTGAGACGGATTGAATAAACCTTTTGTTTTGTGAACGTATAGAATATGTCCATTTGATTCTACAAAAAGATAGTGGGCTATGAGTTTCGTGGATTATAATGTCTGTAACACATCTTGGTCTATTTGTTCATGTCCTACTAAACTCTAATTGGCTGAGTCACGTACACACCTGTGACCGCATAACATTAATCTAGAATCGATACATGCGCAGATCAGGAACTTTAAACTAAAACCTACACATTTACTTTGTGTAATCTCATGACGTGATTTGAGGATTAAATTATATTTTTAAACCACATTTAACCGGCGTCTAATATCTTTCTACCTGTTTGATATAGCTAATTTTGGGACAAAAAGCTTCTAAAGGAAGCCTACTTTGAACCACCAGGCCGCGCCACTTCGAGTTGATGCTCCCTCTCTCCCCACTTCTCTCTTTTCACGGTTCTGACGTCAGCAACCTGCAATTGAACGAATTAACTAACGGACGACCGAGCCCCTACCGGAGCTACCGGGAGGCAGTAGAGTTACAGAGCGAGTCCCCGCCGCCAGCCTCGGAGGAGCTACACGGAGGAAGGTACGCTGTGCGCCGCCGTGAGAAGCAGTGTTGGAATCAAACGATGCGAGCCGCAGCCGAGTGACACAGAGCCTACTGTCGACGAGCGGAGAAAACCGTTACCGTGATTTACCGACACTTACACCGAAGAGAGACGGAGGACGAGCGGACGGACAACCCACCACCGAGACCCCGTTTGAGAAACTGCGGTGGCTACAACGAGTTGTGTTCGCGCCCTGGATCAAAGTGATTTAAATGCTTTAACGGAGCTGTACCCCTGGCTTGAGAGCGAGCGAGAGGGAGCTGCCCAGAGAGCAAGAGGAAGAGGGATCGAAGACACCGCGCAGAAAAGGAGGAAATCAACCAAGAAAAGAAAAAACGGATTTGCAAACAGCGTTGTTTCCGCGCACACGCTTCGTTCAATCTTTCATTGTTTTAATTTTCTCTGGATCAAGGTTTCGGTTACGCTTTCAAGCTGTGTTCTCTAACCATGGGATGTACTCTGAGCGCAGAGGAAAGGGCGGCTCTGGATCGGAGCAAAGCCATCGAGAAAAACCTGAAGGAGGACGGAGTCACCATGGCCAAAGATGTCAAACTGCTTCTGCTCGGTAAGAGTTTAATTGCTCACAGTAGGGCCTGTAGAGCCACGGCAGAAATGAAACCCTTCGGGGGTGATGAAAGGTGTAGTGTGGGGGGGTGAGCATCTGGTAAAAAATGACCATCCATTACTGAAGATTGTTCTGGACATACATAAATACATGACATCCCTCATAAGATATTAAAACAACGCCAAAATCCCATACATGGGCATTGATTAGCTTCCTTCTCCATACTAAACACACCCTGTCTGCTCATTACATCACGTTGAAGCAACCTGCTATGGTAGGTTTTTCTTATTAAAGAGGTGGATTAACTGTAATTCTGAGGAATCAGTGGGTACAAGGTGGACAATCTATGATACCTACCGATTGGGGGCCTTTAAAATGGCATTATGCAGCAGTGGAGGCCCAAGCACAGGCAGTGTTGTATCATTGGTTTGGGGTGGGAGATTGATTCATTGATTCTCTGTGGGAAACTAGCCTTTAAGTAGAATTATTTATTTGATTGACTTACTAGAAAGATGGTGGATAGAAAGGAATAATAAAAGGGAAGCACATTGAGGAAGAAAGGATGCAGCCAATTCTCCATCTTTCAATCTCCACCCTGCTGCTGCTTTTCATATTCATTTAGGTTTTTAGGAGGCTGATTCTCCCCGTCACACACACACACACACACA